TTTCCATCTTAAACAGCTAATGTTTGAGTTCCAGTTGCTGGAACTCAAGTATATCGGAAAGATGAAATCTTACTAACACAGATAATGCTGGGGTTAACTTTCAGTTATGTGTGGGAGACTCTATCAGGCTAAGTGTAGAAAGAGATGGTTGGATTTTGGTTGTCTGTATCTCACTATAACCAATTAGATAGCTGATGGCGGTGTGGATGCGTACTTCTATATAGTCTGTGTTTTAACAATATTAGGGCAGTCACATGATGACCATCAATAAGAATAATTTGAATTCTTATGTAAATGGATAATAATTTAGTATCTAGCAGAAAATTCAACCCTTAGTCTTCTTCTCTATGCACAAGTTTTTCCCAGTTTATGTCAGGAATATCACTGTTAATATAAGTGTCCTGTTAAGTCTCCAGGACACTTGAGACTACTTTTATTTCTTTCCTCATTGCTGACAGAATAACTGACAGAAGCAACTTAGTGGGGAATGTAGCCTGGCGTATAGTTTAGCGGGTTCAGTTCATCATGGCAAAGAAGCAATGAAGGCTTCATTGTCTAAGGCGAGGTGCCTCATAGCTCAGTGAACTGGGAAGCAGAAAGCGCGCTGCATACACGGTAGCCCACTTTTGTTAGCTATGTCACGCGATCCAAAGGTTTGACAACCTTCTCAAGCATCAGCTGCAGCTGGAAAGCAGTTGTTCCAACACATGTCCTACAGAGGACATTTCTTATTCGAACAATCTAAGTGCAGTTTTAAAAGAACTATTTGCAAAACAGTACTTCAAATACATTTTAAGAATCTAGGGGGAAGGTTTTGAGATTATCTTAAAACTTGAAACTTTTTATTTTGTATACATAGGTATTTTGCATACATATATGTCTGTATGACCCTTGTATACCCAGGGTTCATGGAGGCCAGAAGTGGACTTTTGATCTTCTCAGCTGGAGTTACAGACAGTTGTGAACTGGCGTGTGGGCACAGGGAGTCAAACCAAAGTCCTCTGGAAGACTAGCCAGTGACCTTCTAGCTCCCTCTCTAGCATCAGTGTTGTAGTTATTCTTAACATGAGGTAATTTTTTTATATTAAAATGTGCAGTGACCTGCTTCATTCACCATGGTTGGTATAGGACTTGGCAAGTCATAAAGACGTTTTGCCTTTCTGTAATTCCAATTTGGATAATTGGCTGAAGACTGGAGGCTTCAGACTTGCTGAAAAGCATAGGCTTGAGGCAGACTGATCTTGGTTCATCAATAGCTATGCAACATTGAAAAACAGTTTAGCTTTCAGAAGCTCATTTTTCCTCAGTAATATGGCAAGATGATTATGCCTGGCTGTATTTTCCTCTGTATGGGCACTGTAATAAAGTGCCACAATTTGACTGGTTAATGGTCATGGTACTTTATTTTCTCTTAGTTCTAGAAGCTTGAAGTCCAAAATTAAGTTACTGGCAGAACTGTGTTCCTTCTGAAATCTACAGTTTTGCCTCTTCCAAGTTTTTGAGGGGTAGCTGTTGTCTTGTGGCCGTCATGGACTTGCAAATAAGTCCAATTTCTGTCCTTGTTTTCTCAGAGCATTTTCATACCCAGTTCTTACAATGGTTCTTACAATGTCACTGGACAGAGGCACACCCTGCTCAGGATGCCCTCATGTTTGCTTCCCTAGACACATCTGCAATAATCCTAGCTCCAGATAAGATAATCATGTCATAAAGTACTAGACCTCTCTCTCTCTCTCTCTCTCTCTCTCTCTCTCTCTATATATATATATATATATATAATAGTTCTCTGAACTCACACACAGACTTTGAAATACACACTAAATACATGCCTGCACACACACACATACACGCACGCACACACATACACACACACACACACACACACACACACACACACACAGAGAGAGAGAGAGAGAGAGAGAGAGAGAGGAGAGGGAGGTATATTCTTCCTCCCCACAAGAGACTTTTGTGCCAAGAACAAGCTCATCTGAGGGAACGGCTTGGCCCTTGACTGTCAGTGGGTCCCAGCAGCACCAGCGCTGCTACAGAACATGTCTTGAGTGATGGATGTCCATAGAAGGATAGTTCATTTTAATTGTAACACTTTACTTTTGGCTATGCTTACCTCCTGCCAGCTTTTCAATTCCCTTAACATTTAAGATTGCCAAATCAGGCCATCTGTAAACATGAAAAGTTGCGAAACTGAGGTCTTTCACTGAAGTGCTAGTTTTAATATGCTGAACAGAAAAAAAAGGACATTAACCCCCATCCCATCATGAAAACAACATAGCTTGGAAAACGTATATACTCCGTTTCACCATTTGTCGTTTTATGGCTTGTGGATATAGGTAGGTCTTTGTTTGATGACGTCCTCTTTTTATCCCCCTTCTGTTTCGTTCCTGTTGAGAGTTCGCCTTGGCAACCATTGTGTAGAAGCCTAGCACAGCCTTGCCTGAGCCAGAAAGGTTAAAACTGAGCTGACAGGACAACCCCAGCTCTCCGCTGTTGGTGAGTTATTCTGTTTATTCTACATATGTTTCCTTTTAATTAAAATGTCATTTTTAATTAAAAATGAAATGTCAAGAAGGAAAAAAAAATGGCAAAGTCTGAGCTAGTGCAGCAAATTCAAGCAGAAAAAAAGTCAGTGGAGAAAAGTAACTTTGAAAGGATGAGAACAGCATCTTCCTTAGGTTTGTAAAAAGAAAAAGACAAAAAAATGATCAGAGAGTTTTGAATGCTTTTTGCTGCTGTTCACAGAATGTACACACACATTCTCTCTCTCTCTCTCTCTCTCTCTCTCTCTCTCTCTCTCTCTCTCTCCCTCTTTTTCCCTCTCCCTCTTCCTTTCTCTGCCTCTCTCCCTCACACACACATCTACTTTGTGGCTTGTTCCTATAACTAAAAAAGTATATATTTGATGTGTGGGCACATGCTTTAAGTTAATGTGTGTTGCTGATGGCTGCCACATTTTTCATGAATGACAGAGCCACTAATGAGATGTAGCATTGACTGCAGAGGGCACCTATAAATTGTGTAAAACAGCTCTGCTGGCCGTTTATTTAATTTATTTGATAGAAGTGTAATGCCTTATAGTTTAACTAGAGCTTTTATTTTGTTATAAAGACCCATGTCTACAGCTTTTCAAGAATTATGCATGGCTTACGCTTCCTGTCCCAGCACTGCTCAGAGACAGAGTGTTGCACATGGTGATGATGTTGCAAAAGAACCGATCCCATGTTGAGTGGGGAATGACACCACCAAGGTATGTGCCACCTGCTGTGGATGCCATTAGGCAGAGGGTACATCTCATAGAAATAAGTGGGGCACCAATGACACATGATGGTTAGTGTTGTGTTGACCAGGAAAAGTCCAAATGGACGTGAGCTTCTCCCAGCAGACAGAATCTCTCTCTCTCTGTCTCTGTCTCTGTCTCTGTCTCTGTCTCTCTCTCTCTCTCTCTCTCTCTCTCTCTCTCTCCTCTCTCTCCTCCATTCCCCATTGTTCTGATTAGGCTGAGTAATTTCTTTTTCAAGTCCACATTTGGCAACTGTGGCTTCCTTCTCTTTTCTTCATGGTGCCATGTATTCTCCACTTCAAACACATTGTGTAACCACCTTTTCCCTTCCATCATTCCTGGTCCCACACCCGCCACCTTACCCTTTCATGCCCCGGATGCCTTTCTTTCAAGCACATGCAGTGTTTAACTAAATCCCAGTTGCCAGCTTAATTCACTTGTACTTTCAATAAGACACATGGTAGATGTGCAAAGAAGGTTCCTCTTTGCTTTTTCTATGTCCCTTCAGCCTTACAATGTCTTATGCAAAGTCAACATCAGAAAAATGTTCATTATGGAACATTTCATTGAGTGTTGATTCTCTGTAAGAATTTGATTAGCATGGTTTCTTATACATCTACTTCAGGGAGGCACAAGTTCATGTGGATCATGAAAGTTTTTATGAATAGCCCTAAGAACTTCTTGATTTGTCTGACTATGTAGTCAGTCCTGCAGCTGCCTTTGGCAGTAAAAACAGTCCTGAGAGTTTCAGCCTCATAATGGCACAGAAACAGATACAGGATAGTGAAAATACAATTCAGTAAAACCGCCCTGAAGGGCTGACTCTGTGCAGTGTGCTAGAGTGTTTGGCTCCTACATTACCTGTACGTTAGGGATGCTTCCAGTCCCAGAAGCTTCCGTTGAGCAAGTAAGAAAATCATTTCTATATTGGCTGTCTTTTTTTGTTCATTTGCTTGTTTTGTTTCCCTTCATTGTTATCTAGAAAATGTTACCTAGGAAAATGGAAGCCAACGTGCCCTGTGATTCTCAAGGCCAACACAACTCCAAACATGTGTATCTCTACAAAGTGAGACCAAGGGCAGTGGAAAGCCACTGCCTTGCTTGCCTTATAAGCTGATTAACTAGGATGAAATGACCACTTTATTGAAAGCAAATGAAAGATTGGAACTGATTTATGGATGTGTACATTATTGTCCCTGCCCGGTTCTCGTTTTTATAAATCTAAGCAATAAGTAAAGAAAGCTCTTATCCATTTCCCAGGATCTGGTTTGACAGTTATCTTTGAGAAAGTGATGAAAAGCTTGCCTCTTTTTCCTATATCACCATGACAGTCAAATTCTGCCTTGTGTCCTTGCTTTATTAAACCAATTTCTGCTTGTTTGTGCCTCTGTATCCATGGAGAACAGCTGATCAGCATCCCTCATATAAAACCCTTTATATTCGGGGAGACAGTAATTTCCTGTGAGATATTTAGTTGAAAGTTTCATAAACTTTTGAAAGAAAAAAAACCCACTGTGCTTAGTTTATACTTCATAAAAAAATGACGCTGAAGCTTTAAACAAGATACTTACATTTCACTTTCTGTGTAAAAAATTAATCTCTTTTTAATAGCATCCAGGTTTCACCACAGTGCACCTAAATGCATGCTTCTTGTCAAGCATAACTAATTCAATTCTTTTAATATTTTCTAAACTTGTTGGTAAATCTTTAAAATATCTTAAAAATATATTATATATTGCCGTTCTCTATTATTAATGTGTATTGTCATGTGATATACATGTGGGCACATGTACCATGGTAGGGACATGGAGGTCAGAGGACACCTTTGTGCAGCCATTGTCTTCTTCCACCTCTTTGTGGTCTGTAGGGCTAGAACTCAGGTCGAAAGGCTTTCAGGGCAAGTTCTACTGGCCGAACTATCTTCCCAGACACTAGGTAAATCCTCTTAATGGTATTTTATAGTTTGAACTTATAACAGCCCCAGTATAAACTGTTTTTTCAAATTGCTTTTGGTAGCTGCATTCTGAAACCTTCAAATCTGATTACCAATAAGATAACGTTTTGTGTGTTCACAAAACGTCCTCAGGAATTGAGATATTTGATCGCATGGGAAATTCTCTCTTGCCTCTTCTTCCTTCCCTCTCTTCTTCCATCCCTCCTCCTGCCTACCGCCCTTTCTCTCCTTCTGCTTTCATTCTCAAACTACCCTTTGCTTTAGTTTTAGGGACTCATCTATGGCCTCTAGATGTTCACCCTTGAGCAACATTAAAGGTACAGTGTCCATTGGAGGTCATCTAAGCATGCCAATTCTTCCTGTGATTGACATACAAGAGTCTAGCATCACATCATTTCTTCATTCTTCTTTCCAGAGGAGTTGCTCTTCCTAGAAGGTCTGTGATTGGAGGGTCTCTGTGTTCATCAGCAGAGTCCTGCCCTAGTGTTTCCATGGTTTTGATGAAAGACTGCCCTCTGGTGCAGAGATGAGAAGCAACTGTTTAAAACACAAGAAAACATACTTGGTTAAATGATTCATTTTATACTGTATTTCATCATGGAAGTTAGCACTAAACCTGAAGGTTGCAAGTTTTAAAATACTGAAAATGTACTCCTATCATGTTTTTATTATTTTTTTTTAATCTCTTGGTACCTAGAATGGATCTCTTGCGATTCTCACCTTTCCTCCATAGAAACAGTTTCCCTGCGGGATATTCTATGTTTCCTCTTAGCAAATACATTTTGTTTCTATTTATAAAATATTTTGATGTACTTGTGAATGGAGTTTTAAAACTAAGGGAAAAATAAGTCAAAATCACTGTCCTGTGTCTCTTGAATCTATGTCTTGCTTGGGTTTCTCACTATATAGAGAGAAGAAACTCAGTTATCTTTCAAAAATTTATCACTGAAGAAAAAGAATCAATCCCACCCTCCCTTTCTGGTTCTGTTATTGTCTGAGCATTCAGCTTCATTGATATGGTTGTACTTCTGATGTATGTCAGGTACAGAGATGAGGTGGGTGATTATTCTACAATAGACTTCAATAACATTTATTTTATGTAAATGATGTCTTGTATTTTAAATTTTTAGAGTTTTAAAAAACTTAACAAATAATTACTATCATGTAGAGAAGAACTAGCTGAATGGTTTTTTTTTTTGTGATTGTATTCCAAGTGACTAAGAATCCTAAATAATTAATCCCTCTGCCTGTAAGTCATAATTCATGGAACAGGAAAGGTGTGACATGAACTGTTCTTTAGAATTCTGTGAAGTCCTTAGTCATGAGAAGGTATTTGAGTCTTATCATTTCGGGAGATTAGAACAGCTGGAAAGCAAATAAAAACCTGAGAAATAACACCCCCTTCCCCCTCAGAACTTGCACATGAAAATTCGCAGCAGTTACAACAGTAATATAGCCAAAGCAAAGCAAAGCAAAACAAACAAACAAAAAAAGGAATCAACCCAACTCTCTGTCAGTGAACAATAGGATGGAATAGTATTCAGCTCTTAAGAGGAACTGATGAACTGACACACTACATCGTGGATGAACCATGAATGCTAAGTGAAGGAAGCCACATACAGTACAGCCTGGAAGAAGAGAAGGTAATTAACTGAACAAAGACAGGCTTTTGCTTTAGGGAGATGATAACAATGTTCCAAAATCCACTGTGGCAATGCTTATGCAACCTGGGATAGACTGCAAGCTTCTGACTTGTTCTCTCTAGGTGAATCGTATGCTATTGTGATCGTATCCCAACAAAACTATTACTTTCAAAACATATAAACAAACTTTAAATTAAAGCAAAGGAAGCTGCACCTTGTTCGCCAAATGTCTTCTTTTGTCTCATTGGCTGGTGGGAGGCCTTTGTGCGGCACCACCATCTCCCCTGGAGCACTGCTAGCTTCACAGAGCCTGTTTTGATCCTAAGCATTTTATGACTGCTTCAAATGTGCTCTCTTGTTTTATGAGTTTAATTATTATGAATAATCCTTCCCCAGACATTCTCCACCCTTCCAGGACAAAATGTCTGGTGGGAATGTAAATATGTTAAATGTCATTACAATATTTCTATGAGCAGAAACAAAGAGCCAAAGGCTATGTTTTTCCCCCAAAGGATGCCTGCACTGGCTGTCAGGCCAGACAGAGGGGCTGAACCTTCCTTCCCCTGGCTGTGACTATCGGCACAATTCACCAAGTCTTCATTTCCTCATCTATATGTAGGAACAACTGTACCTACCTTCTCTATATGACTGCTGCTTCCTGGTTTAAATGAGGTAATGTATTTTAAACATTCTGCAGTTGCACAGCCATGGCTGATATCTAGAATAGATATTTATTACTAAAAACAATGATTCCGAGGGAGACAATTCTGTTTATTCAAAAATAGTCTGTACTTAACTAGAGTACACAAAGGCAGAGTGACTAGCTTCTTTGAGCCCTTTTAATGTTAATCAGGGGTTTTTACATTGGTCATTAAAATATGAATATTTATAGAGCATTCTCCCATTAAAATGCATCATATTTCTTCAAAAGAAAAGCCAGATACAAATATGAAAGGGACCATTGTAGCGTTTGGGGGCTGGGTAAAATTATTCTCCTGAGGTATTATTTTCAAAATAATGGATTTTCCTTGTCGTAGGAAATTTTCTCTCCCTTTCCATCACAATCGCAATCAGCACTCTACCTGCTTGCAGCCGCCGTTGAAACAGCTGGATCACCCATTTTGATGAGGGATTACTCTTCCGTATTTATAGTAACACCCATTTCACCAAGTGTAGCCCCTGAGAAGGAACAAACAAACAGCCAACTTTCCCTATCACAGGTAACTGTTTTCTTTGTATTAAATTTCCTTTCCTATGGCGTTCACGAGCTTCAGATTCTGAAGTTCATTTCACCACTCGGGGACACTTAAAAGCTGCCAAGTCAATGCAACCAATAGAAATTTAATTTCAAAAAAAAAAAAAATCTGAAGCTTTGCTTGTAAAACCCCACAGAAGCTTTAAGCACAATAGTGAGGGGTGGTGATGGTGGAGAAACATGAGCTTTAAACATGCCAGAGACCTTGACATCTGAGCAGGGACCATGTTTGAAGGGAGACATGCATAAAGATGCATGTCTTTTCTCAGGGATATTAATGAAATGGTTAATTCTGCTGTCATGGCAACAAAGAACAGCTGTGATGAAAAGCTAGAGGTCTACACACAATGCCCAGCACAAGGTCTCTAATTCTAAAGCTGATTTTCTTAGCCACAATAGAAGTGATGTGTTTTCAATATCATCCTAAGCCTTCACATCAAATCCTTCTAGTTAATCCAATAAATAGACCCGTGGCATAAAAGGAATAAGTATATGTTTGTCCATTATAAACCTTGTCAAGAAAGTTTACCTATGTTTAATCTTAAGAGGGGATCTAGAAAGTAAACAAACACTCCTTCAAAATAAAAGGCTATTTGGCATGAAACCTTAAAAAAGAGAATCTATTCAAATGGGCTTTTGAAATAATTATCAAATGCATTGTTGTTTAGCTTCTTAGCAGGAAGGTACTTAAGATAGCAACATTTCCAGGACCACTTCTACAGCAGCAAAAGGGATTCCATTTTTGGAGTCCAGCACAGGAGGATGATGTAAGTGACTGAGTTTGCCCCTTAGGTCTACCACCACAGTCTGTAGCAAAGAGACTTCAGAAGAACTTGCCAGAAGCATGACACCAGTACACTTGCCTCTAACAAGGCAGGCCGGCTTGTTGGGGTATCTGTTCCCGCCCGGTACCCCACAGCTGGCAAGTCCCAGAGAAAATCAATCACACAGAGATCTCTATAAATTATAAAGCTGATTGGCCCATTAGGTCAGGCTACTTATTAGTTCTTATGACTTATCTTAACCCATTATTCTGATCTATGTTAGCCATATGGCTTGGTACCTTTTTCAGCTGTCAGCTTACATGTTGCCTCTTCAGTGGTCTGTGCAGGAGTGGCAGAGGAACCTCCCTGCTTCCCAGAATTCTCCTGTTCTCATTGCATCACCTCTAGTTCCTGTCTGGTTTTCTCGCCTATACTGCCTGCCTGGCCAATCAGCGTTTTATTAAAATATGATTGACAGAATACAGACAATTCTCCCACATCACTTGCCCCAGGTAGAGATGAGTCTTAGATTTGGAAGAAGACCCGCAGAAGCCTCTGGTTTCTTTCAAAAATCTCTTCTCTCCGCCTTGTGGTCCTTAGGTGAAGATCTAGATTTCATACTTTCTCTGAGCTCCTCTCCCTGTTCTGTGTTCATAAGTTAAGACTCATGGTTTCTTCCATGGATTGTTGTCATCAAATGGAGCCCAGGTCATACTCCATCAGATACTGGTGTTTTTTTTCCTTCTCATCTTTGTATGTGTGTGTGTGTGTGTGTGTGTGTGTGTGAGAGAGAGAGAGAGAGAGAGAGAGAGAGAGAGAGAGAGAGCATGTGTATATGAGAGAGCATGTTTGTGTGTATGTGTATTTTGTGAATGGGTATACATGTATGCATGGGGGCTGCAGAAGTCATTTGGATATCATTCCTCATTCTCTGCCTTATTTTTTTTTTATTGAAGTTGTAGCTCACACGTTCAGTTAGACTGACTAGCCATCAAGCCCCAGATATTCCCCTATCTCCACCTCCCCACTCCTGGGATTTCAGGTACACATAGCTTTTTATCTGGGTCCTGGGAATTCCAAACCAGCTCCAAATGCTTGCAAGGCAAACACATCACTGAGTTACTGAGCCATCTCTCTATCTTGTTACACTGATCTTTCTGAAATCTACATCAAATTGTGTCCTTTCTCTTCAAATCTTCTCAATTAGCTCTATGTACCAGCTAAATAAAAGAAAAAAAACAACCCAAAGTCCTACCTTGATTTAGAAGACAGATGCATGATTTGAAGCTCAGTAATTTCTCTTACCTCCTATGATACCCACGTGCAAGTCTGGAAACAAAGGCATGTTGAAGTCCTCTACACATGTTCAACGTGTGATGTATTCTCAAAGTGTATGTCCTCTGGTAGTCCTTCTTCTGCCTTGAATGCCTTTTTTTCTCCCTGTGATGCTTTTCCATCTTCAGTTTCACATCGAACTCCTAATTGCAAAGCCAGACAAGCTATTTATTAATATATAATAATAAAATTATCAGAATGTGTGTTATGTATAATGTGCTGTGGGACAATGGTCTGTACCCTGTCAATTGTATTCGAATAAAATGCTGATTGGCCAGTAGCCAGGCAGGAAGTGTTGGTGGGGTGACCAGGCAGGAAGTTGAGATGGGGCAATGAAAATTTTAGAAAGAGGGAAGTTTCAGTCTGCAGTCGTGACACAGACACAGAGGAAGCAAGATGTGACTGCCTCATCCAATGGTTGCTTTTAGACCATGCCTTGACCTGGCTGACTCCATTTTACTAAACTTACAGTTGATCTATTTTAAGTCCAGATGTTGGCACAGAACCACCATCTGTCTAGCACACACCATGGCATAGACTGACAGCTAATTTAGTTACAAAGACATTGTCATCCATGAACTAACCAAAGGAAGTCAGAAACATGTGGATATCCGTGTGCAACAAAAATACATCAGAAGAAACAGCCCCATGAACTTATGGACGAATAGAACCAAAGATGTACAGCATCTCTAACATGGAAGAAAGGATATTATACAAAGTGACACGGGCTCATAAGCACTCAAGTACATGCCTCAGGGGATCAACAAGCTACTAACTCTTGACTCCATTTCAACATAACTTCTGATGAATCATCACTTATCTGCTTGTGGTGACTCCACTGATCCTTGCCTCCCATCTTCCTGCCTTATCTTGACAATACCTTATTTAACTTCCTGTAGTTAGTCTTGCTGTGGGGTCTGTCCCCTCTGCCTGTAGTAAAGCCTCTCTGAACTAGGAAGCTTCTTTAACCCCTTTGTAGCTGTTCCACAATCTATATATCATTTGTGAAATATAGCATCTGATCGGAGGGTTAAAACTAGTAATTAAGAGTGTGATAAAAGAAGCTGGGGTTTGCCAGTCACCGCACTGTCAAACAACACTGGAAGAGGACATGGTGACTTTCAGTTAAAGAAATGAAATGGATATAGCTTTGTGAATTATTGTTCTTCAATGTCTTTTGATACTGTGAAAAACCACCAATACAGTCCTCCATGGTTGGACACAGAGCACTTACAGTTCACTACCACATAATATAAATCAAATGACTTAAACAAAAACATTTGTTTCTCATGATATGGAATCCAGGAAGTCAGATCAAGCCACTAGTGGATTTGGTATCTGTTAGGCTTCCTTTTTGATTGACAGGGTCTTGTTATGGCAGCGGGGGAAGGGCCTCTTTGGCATTTCTTTTGTAAGGACCTTAATCCTGTTTATCCAGGCTCCACTCTTATTATGTCATCACACCCTCACACTTGACGTTCTAATATTGCATGTGCTTCAGTACCACAACACGTGGACTTTGGGAAGACAGCACAGAATCCCTAACCACCAGTCAGGGTGTTGTTAACTTTACAAGACACCACCAATTCTTTCCGAAGACCATTTAACAGTTGTAAGTTTGTCTAAGCCTGTGATCACATCTTTTCTTCACTTTGAAATTTACCATTCTGTTTAGCTGAAATAAAATATTCCCTTTCTGAAAATAATGTGTTTGTTTTACCAGTATATCGGACTATCTCAGGGTATCTTTTCATTTCTTAATGTTTTTTTTAAAGAAGGTTTTATATGGTAATAGCTTTTTCAAGTGAAGTGTGAACATACATGTATATCTGGAAGATAAACAAACTATATCATTCTCTCTATGCCCAATAAAAAGAATTATCACTGGGTGATAGAATTAAAATTTATTCAAAAATATATGTATATATGTGTCTAGATGTGTGTGTGTATGCGTGTTCATGGGTATACACTGATCCGCATGTAAGCATGTGCAGGCTAGAGATCAATGTTAGGTGTCTTCCTCTCTTTCTTTCTATATAGGATCTCTTATTGAATCCCAGGTTTGCCTAGTTGGCTAGACTGACTGAACTGCTCCTGAGATCCATGCCCTTGCCTCTACTCACTCCCCTCCCCTCCTGCACAGGGTTGATGATGTGCAGCCCTGCGCCCAGCTTTATGTGGGTTCTGGAGATCTGAACTCAACTTTTCAAGTTTGCACAGTAAGAACTTTCCCCACTGAACGGTCTCTTAATACCCAAGTTACATTTTAAAACATGACCTTTACCTCTAGCTTTCTATAATAAATATAAACAATCAATTTAAATATGTCATAAACAAGTGCTTACATATAATTGAAAAGTAACATATAGTATGTGGACAATATGCAAGAATACTTTGTATATATCTGTATAACCTATACCTGTCAGAATATTCTCTCTTGGATATCCTAACACTCATCCCTGCTTTGAGGAGATAAGTGACAGCCTTCTTCCTGAGTCTCTTGATATGTGTCTTATGTGTTTGTAGACACTGATCCAACTCAGCACCTGTAATAGGGAGTGGACAGTAAATTTAATTGTCTTTTTATATATCATATACCCAGGGCTGTATCTGGTACTAAAAATGCATATTGGATATAAATGCAGACTTTAAAAATAAGAACTCATATTTGCGTAATTCCTTAAATGTCTGCCTTGTACTGTGCTCAACACCTAGTTCTTTGAATCATGCTTATTAGTGATTAAATGCAGGTACACTAGTTGAGTTTTGTACTGTTTGAGATAGTGTTTTAAAAGATATATTATACACGTACTGGAACAACAACTTTTGGGTTTATTTCATTGATTCTGGTGTGATCAATTAAAATAAGCTAAGATTTCATGGAAGCTTGAGAAGGTGCTTGTAGCACAGTGGTTTTCGTGAATTAGCTAAACCAATGTGAGGTGAGACCATAGTCTGTTTCCCAAAGAGCCTGTGGATCTTTAGAGGAAAGGCATAGGGTGTGGTCTCCTCAAATCTGTGCTATTTTCTTCCTGTTATAAGAGGTTAGAAATGATGAGAGAATGTCCCCTCATGTGGTTGGCACTGCTACTCTTCTTTCCCCTTACTAGAGATGATTGGATCCCATCTCAAGTCACTTAGAAGTATCTTAATTATTATCAAGACTGTGGCCATTCCTTACACAGATGTTACATATTCATTGCTTGGACATTTGAATCAAGACAACAATGTCATTATCCATGAAATCAGATTGGGTGATTTCATCCCCCAGCTCTCATATGCATGATGCAATTAACTAACTTCCTGTGAAACACTGGCTTCCAGAAAGCCCATATGTCATTGTTGCCCCCGATGCTTGTTTGCTCTGTTTGTGGACTCTCAGCTGGTTACTACGTTCAATCTTTGTTTCTTTCCTGATAAGGAGAAACAGAAAGAGTGGTTGCAAGAATTCTAAAGAAAATACCTAGCATCCAACCATCCATGTGTAAGTAGTATAAGTAGTGTGTGTATGTGTGTGTGTGTGTTTGTGTGTGATATTTAGGACTTATTGACCAATTGAACCTTGATAGCTTTTTAAACAGTGCAAAACAGTACAAAAAATTTAGCTTTTTGCACTACAGCATGTTTATTTTAAATTTCTTCAAATGGTGAGAATTTTTGCAAACATTGTTTTACACTGAATTACATTTTGAGGGTAAATCATTATCCTTGGGTAGCTATGTATACATTGAAATGTGGCAATTTCACACAGTAGGAGATCTTTTTCAGAGCACAGATTTCTCGCTCACTTGTGCTTGGTTGAAGTGGGACCAGTACATAATCTAGTCAGTCCCTTACCCGAACCGCACTCACTGAATGCCTATAGCTAGCTACACATCACTCCTCAAGCTTTTGACAAGATGCCCGTTGTTGACTTTCTTCAAGCAACAGAACTTAGGTTTCAGGCTTTCCTATGTCTTCCCGTGGTTGCTAAGGAGGGTGGCAGCAAGTGCGTGGAGGCAATAGTGGGATTTCTCTGGGTTTTTCCTTGCTTGGGAAGGCTTTGAAGTAGACAGAAATATTCTCCACACAGAAAGTTCTGGAAGAAATAGATAACTTATCTGGGGGAAAGGTGACTTCTATTTTTTTTTAAAGTTTATTAAAATACAAAAGTTTCCATTTTCGCCCCTCCTCCCAACACCCTCCCACTTCCCCCACTCCCTCTCCTCTTCCCTCTCCATCCCTAAGAGCAGTCAGGGTTTCCTGCCTTGTGGGTAGTTCAAGTTCCTCCCCGCTCCCTCCAGGATCAGGAAGGTGAGTATCCAATCAGACTGGATCCCCCAAAATCCAGAATATGCAGAGGAAACAAGTCCCAGAGTCATTGTCAATGGCTTTTTAGAAAGACTTCGGGCCAGCCACATTCAGAGAATCGATCCCCAGATTGTTCTCTGGACAGAGGAGAGGGTGCCTGAACTGGCCTTGGCCCATAACCATACTGATGAATATTTTGCTTATCACCATAGATCCTTCATCTGGCAATAGATGGAGATAGAGACGGGGACCCACATTGGAACACTGGACTTAACTCCCTAGGTCCAACCGAGAAGCAGAAGGAAGAAGAACGTGAGCAGGGAGGGCAAGATCAGAGGGAACCTTCATCCGGCGATGGATGGCGATGCAGACGGAGACCCACATTGGAGCACCGGACTGAGCCCCCCAAGGTCCAAAGGAGGAGCAGAAGGAGGAAGAACACGAAAAAGGAAATCAGAACCGCAAGGGGAGCGATCACCCACTGATCCAACCAGACTTCTATTATTTTTATATCTGTAGCTTCTTTCTCCTGTGCTTTAGGGCCTGCTGTGGTGGGATAGTTGGGCTCTAATGGAGAAATGTCCTATCTGTTATTGATTGTGTTTTTATACTGGTGTCTAGGTATCTGGTTTTGGGGTGATTATAGGTCCAGGTGCTTAATTTCTAGGAGATCAGGAGAGGATGATCTATGGGATCATAGCAGGCATGGGCAGGGTGGAAGCGAACAGATAGGGCAGGGAAGGTCTGCAGGCAGACAACCTGATCTTCTGGCAGGTGTGGCCCGTGGTTTAGAAGGCAATGCTCACTCAAGCTGGGAGCTAGGACACAGTGTCAATTGGGGAGGGTCAGAAGGGGTTGGTAGTAGAATCCACGGGAGGCATGGAGAGGGGAGAAGGAGGGATGCAGCTGGCGTTCTGTTGCGTGTTAGGGACAAGCCTGAGGGATTGGGTTTGCTGAGGGAACAGAAAGCCTATTTCTAGAAACTCAATAGTGGGTGAAGGGGGCATTTGAAGAGAAGAAACTCTAGTATGGAATTCTCTCCCCCAGTGATTAAGAACTAATAGAGACCTAAAGCTTAGCGCTATCATCTCTTAAGCGAAATCAGGGACTTTGCGAATCTCTGAATTTGTAAATTGTGCCGTGGCATCTCAATCTGGTGAAGGGAGGGAGGGAGACCACCCTAGGGTTTTTGCCACCTCATTTGTTTTAAATAAAAATGGAAGACCGTAAATAAGGGTGCAGCACAGTAAAGTGGATCAGTGGATATTAGTAATTATTTTTATTATTATGTAGTACTGAAATTGCTGCTATTACTTATCACATTTCATTGCGACTCTCATTTTTGCCGTTGATGTGGCAGACCGCACACTTGACGTAGAAACCTAGAGTGAAGACTGCAACCATGCCATCAGCTCTCCTTAGATGATTCCCATTTTCCTAACCCAGAGGAACACAGAGCGATCAGAAGGCATAGCTCTCCAAGGCTCTTGGTTGTTTCGATTCTCCGTGTGCATTTGGCTCACATAACTGTGTGTAGAGTAGATAGTAGGAGTTTGCCTGGAAGATGAGGAGCTTGACATGGGCTAGCAAGATGAAGCTACTGAGCCCACCACGTAGGGGTGCTTTGTGTGGCAGCTGGCACCCTACTGAGGCCCCTGCTTTGCTTACCTGGAGAACTAAGCTGATTTAGCGGGTGGACTCCAGGCTCCAGGCGACTTTCTAAATTGTCTAATGGTAAACGTGCTTCTTCACCTCAGGTCTCCCCCCCCCCCCCCCGCCTTTTTCCCCTGAAGCAAAACATCTATTTTAGTAGACCTTGTACTTTTCTAAGGTTAAGATATATCAGGTTGACAACAATTAGTCAAATAAAAATATTTAGCTATTGTCTATGGTTTACCCACACAGCTCTAAGCCCCAGGGTCACACAAGAGAAGTAAAGAAAATGTTTCTGCCCTGGAGACACAAAGAAAGTCCCCATGGAACGAAACAGTTCCACAGTTAAACTAGGCCAGGTAAGCGTGGCTGCTTTTTGTCCGTGGAGAGAATTGGGGCATGATGAAGACGGCAAAAACCAGCCCGCTGGAACCCAATTGGATGGGAGAATACATTGTTTCTTGGAACCGACCAATGAATGCACTGGGCAGTGGGAGGCCTGATAGAAAGCCACGGAGGGGAAAGCGTGGTTGGGGTGTCAAATAAAGAAACATATACTGTTGAAATAGAGAGCTGCTGGGGCTGGAGACACGGCGGAGGTGACGAGCACTTGCTGACCTTGCAGCCTAAATTAGGTTCTCAGCACCCCTCCACCCATGCCTAGTGGGTCCCAACCACCTGCAATTCCAACTCCAGCGTACCTGACTCCCTCTTCTGGTCTCTGAGGGCACCCGTGTGCACGTGTATCTGTTTCTCCCCAACAAACCAAAGTCAATAAAAAGCACAGACACAATCCTCCTTTGGTTGTCTTGAATTAGCTGCTCCGTGGGTAGGCTTGCACTGAGGAGTCATTAGCCACTGAAGGTGATTTCACAATGTACCTGTGACCTCATTGGTCTATACAGGTAGGGGGTTGGGCACAGATACTCAAGTAAGGCTAGACTCTGATGTTTCTGATGCCTCCCCATCTGAGGTAGCTTTGTAGAAATGCAAACCTTCCTCTTGTAATAGTTCTCTTTAAGGAGGCTTTGTAATTCTTTGGATGGGGTTTTACGAATCTATTATATTAGGGAGCCCCAAATCTGTAATTTCCTTCTAATGAGGCCTGCTAATTTGATGACAGCATTATCAAATCTAAATACCGCCCTTCTTTGGTCTGGAGGGTGCTTCATAATGAGATACATCCAGGGGGGCAGAGAGTTGCCAGATACATTAAAGAAGCCAGTGTCCCTGACTAAGGAAGGCCTTATTAATGATTTTAGTCCCAACGGAAGAGACACAGAGAAAATCTTCAGAAAGCAAGAAATGGCGATGGTGAAATCAAAGCAACCCAGACGGCCTAGAAACAGGCTAATTACGTGGAAGACCCAGAAGCAACTCTGAGGTTTCCTCCCCAGATGCCCTTGGAGCCTGCCAGGTAGCCAGATGCTGGCAGGGCGCTTGCCTTCCACAGGTCGTCAGCAAGATGGCAGTGTGCATGCAGATGAGTACTAGCGTCCAGCATGTTTTGCTCTGTAACACAAAATGTTTCAGAGGCTTACCGGCGAAATTCTAGAAGATTCTTAAGTTGCCACAGTGGAGAATCCCTATTTGTATGTTGTTTTGTAGACAGAAAAGCAGAAGTCCCAAACACGGAAGATACGTGCTTGTCCATAAATACATTATCAGATTAAAGAATGAAAATAGTAACGTATTGTGGTTTGCATCTCTGTATGCATGTTTTTCTGTGTGCAGGTCCATATGTACGTATGTGCACATATGCACGTATATGAGAGTGTATGTGGTGGCCAAAGGACAGTCTCTGTTCTTGCTTCTTAGGCACCCTTGGTGGTTTTTTGTTTGTTTGTTTGTTTGAGACTGGGGGTCCTAGTTTCCCTTCTAGCCACTGCACCCAAATAACCTGGCAAAAACAATTTAAAGGTGGAAAAGTGTGTTTCTTTCAAAATCCCTGGTTTCAGTACATCACAGGAAGGAGGCCTTCAGTGGCATTCACTTGGTCACATTTACCATGGAGAATGGGGGAAACAGTGAACGCATGCATGCACGCTTGGTACCCAGTTTGATTTCTCCACTCACATCCAGGGAATGATATTGTCCACAGTGGGCTGGGTCTTCACACATCAATTAGTGTAATCAAGACAATCCCCAACAGACATGCCTGGGAAGTCATACTGATCTAGACAATCACCCATTGAGACTTTCTTCCCAAGTGATTCTAGATTGCATCAAATTGACAATTAGAGCTAATCCTCACAGGGGGGACGATAAGCAGACCTTTTTCTAAAAAGTCTGATGTTAAAGTAGATGGCCTACGTTAAAGATCATAAGACATTAAGTAAATGCAAATCAAAGCTGCAATGAGGAACTCTTTTATATTATACAGATGGCTACAATCCAGAGAACAGATAACCAGCAAAGGCTGGTAAAGGTTTGAAGCATCCTTTATACACTGTTGGTGATGGCACAAAATGCTGTTGTTGCTCTGGCAGACAGCCCACTGCTCCTTCAGAGGATAACACATAGAGTTTCCACATGTCTCATTAAGTGGACTCATAGATATCACACATACCCAAGAAATTAAAACGTGTCCACCACAAAACTTATATTATGAATATTCGTAGGAGCTTCATTCACACTAGCCAAAACATGAAAGTAATTCAATGTCTATCAATCGGTAGAGAGGCAAATGCTGACATTATATCTATATAGTGGAATATTATTCACCCCCAAAGGCAAATAGTATTGAAATATGCTACTACATGAATAGACATTGAAACCGCTATGCAGAATGAAAGCAATCACTCACACAAGGGCAAGTATTGCATATTTTTATTAATACAAAATGTCTGGAATAGGTGAATCCATGGAGGCATGAAGTAGAGGAGCAATTGCATGGAGTCGGGGTAAAGCCTGACAGAGAGTGACTGTTCACAGGATTTGGGTGCTAGCAGTTAAGGATGGTGACGGCTTCCTCTCTGTTAATGAACTCAAGCTGTGGATCACACCCTTGAGATACTATTGTGTGATTTATAAGCTCAATGAAACTATTACAAAATCATGTATCGTGCACCGAGATCACATTGCCAAGGCCCCTGGTTGTGAACATTTAAAAATGGAACTCTGAACACAGGTTGTCAGATGCATAAAAGCTAACAGCAAAAAAAACCAAAAAAACAAAAAACTAATAGTACGCTCAAGAAGGAGCGATTAAGTTTTACAGTTGGGCATGGCCTGGGAGAAGCCCAGCCGCTGGAGGCAGTTTCTGAAGAAAGATAAGAAACTTTCTCTGAGAATGAGATGAAGTAGAGCCAACACTGAGGACACGGTTCATGGCAAAACACCCATGTGTGTGTTTTAGGCATTAGATTTTGGTATAAAATTAATGTTTAAGAAATTTGTTGAGAGAAAGGAAGGAAGGAAAGATGGAAGAAGTGAAATGGTTGATACATAACTGATTAAGCAATTGTTCCAGAACTGGTGAGCAGCGCCAAGGATATAAATTTAGGTTAAAAATAGTGGGTGGAGAGCAAAGCTGGGACTAAGTGTATGGCACATTTATGGTGTACGTGGGAGGGGGGGAGTGGCGCAGATATATCGGCATGTGCAGGCATGTGTGTGTACATGAATGCCAGATGTAAAATATTTTCCTCACTCTGAACCTTGGTGTGATGCTTTTTTTTTTTTTCTGTACCAACTCCATGAAATCTCTCTTCTTTTGCTATTTTAGAGACAAGGGCCATGAAGACAAAGGGCAAAGTGACTTTCCCAAAGTCCACAGCTGCTAACTGGCAGAGCGAGGATTCAATGCTTAGAATTGTGTCACTAGGACCTAAACTATTTACCAGCCCTCTTAGTTTGAAAAGATTACTTGAGCCTGGATCTCCCATGAATTCCGGCACAACCTCAGCCTGCAGGAAGTCCTCGGAAGACAATTATTGAAGAGTTGGCTTCAAACCCTCTTCTCTTCCCAGCTCAAATTTCCTATGTAAGGAGGCCTGCCATGAACTTGGTGTAGGCAAAGCCAGTGCCTACATTAAAGACATTGGGAATGGATGTTTGGTCCTTGGATAAGGCATTTCCTTTCTCCAAGTTAACAAGTCCTATCACATAGCCACACCATTCTGCTGAGCCAGTAGTTATGAACATCGAAGCTCACAGTATCATCAGCCCAATACTAAGCACGTCCCATGTGCAGGCTCTGTTCTAAGGATCTTACACAAGCCACCACCTTTGGTCTGCGCAACAATGCAGGCCAGTTGGCACTAGAGATGGGGTGTGGTGCTCATAAGTGAGCACTCACAGGCAGACTGTATGGCCATGTGTGTGCTAGTTTCACCGCTTACAGAAGTGTGGCCTGTGCAGTTTGCTCCAGATCTCTCAGCACCACCATTTTGTCATCTTCAAGCCAGGGATAAGAACAGTGCCTATGTCACAGAGTTTACAAAAAGGCTGTTTGGATGTGAAGTACTTGGAATGCCATCAACATGTCGTGACAGCTGTTTATGTGTTAGTTGTTGGCAGAAGCCTCCATCCTGTTCCTCTTAACAACTAAGAAAACTGAGGTTTAAATTATTAAGCGCGTTTCACAGGGAAATACAGCGAGAGGCTGAGCTAGGATTTAAACCCATGGAGTTTGACCCCAGAGTTCGTATTCTGAAGCAGTAAACTAAATTTCTTTCTACAACCTCATTTCACATGGTAATAGAATATATGCTCTAAGACATATCCTTTGTATCCTGCTGCTGTGCCTCAGAGTGCTTTTAGTAATATCCATATCTTTATAATATCATATTCAATATTTTATTGGAAGTATTAATGCATTCTTGGTATTTTATTATTAGTTCATACAGTAACTGATATCTGTTAGATTCTTAATAAACATATATTTTCATTCTTAAGTCTCTTGATAAATGTTTCTTATTCTTTCCTTTCTCACTAACCTCACTAGATGCTGTAAAGTTTAGGCACTCAGGATATCTTGCTTGAGACGATAGAACAGTACCCTGAGTAGACTTTCGGCTATCACATTCCTCATCATACTTTGTCTTATGAGAGCAGCTTAGTGAGCAAGTTCTGCGTGCGCAAAGAACGTAGTTAGCCACCTGGTAAGATTGATGTGGAAGTTAAATGTATTCCATGCCTTGCAACAACTTTGTGATAATGTGAAAAGTCTTCTCACCTGACAGTTTTTAATAAATTATCACTTGGAGAATGGGGAATGAGCTCTGCTATCCAGAAGTGTGGGGAGGAAGGGCGTTGATTTGTGAGCATCTAGTGGTTGGCTGTTAACATGGTTGGCTTGCTCATGTGACCAAGTTTAAGATATCTATGTCATATACATAGAAAGAAGAATTGTGATCACTAAGAGTTCAGAAGGGTCAGGAGAAGACAATAGACGGCAATAGTGGGTACAGGGTGGGGTCTTCAAGGTTCTGGAGCACAGTAGGATCAACATAGTTCACAAAAAAGCATCCTTTGCAAACAACTGAAAGGTTTGGAACACAAAGAAATAGTAAGTGCTAAAGGAGATGAAAAGGCAATTTACCTCACTTGGTCACGTTGTATGCATGTCTTTAATTATCACACCAGACTCCGAATGCATGAAATGGTTACATGTCAATGAGATACTTCTTAAAAAGAATGGTTGACTTAATAGGAACATGGAAGATACAGTTTTTATTAATATTGAGGTACCAAACAAATTTTGTTAAAATGTCAACTGTCAGACAAGTTCCTTGTGCCCATGAACATCTTCCTTAAGAGGAGGTGTCTTAGTCCATTTGGGTCAGGATAATAAGACATC